CGCGTCCGCGGGGGTCGTTCGGCGCCTGGATCCGCTGGGCGCATGCATTGTCCTGGACGTCCTTGACCGCTGTGATGTCATTGGTGGGGGAGAGAAATAGGTTCAGAGGGTGGTGGTGAGCCTATCAGCCTATGGCGGCATATGACGGGGTTTTGAGCCATAGCGTATGACTTCTTCCGGCTCTCCGCAACTGGGGGGAGGGGGGGGGGGGAGGGGATGCATACGGTTCTGTGTGGTATCCGGCCCTGGCACTCTGCCACAGATCCATCCACACACTCTGGGGCTTCTGATCATCCTTCCCTCAATCCCGACGTGCACGGATCGGCAGCGCGGCCCTCTGCCGATCCGTGTCGAGTGTCGTGCTTGGCCAGGACTCAGACGACCGGACCCAGACGGACTGAGCCGCGCTTGGCACAGAAGGTGGTGTTGCAACATAAGTGGGCCGTTCCACACTTGAATGGGATTGGAACTGAGCTCAGCATTTTCATGATCATACCGCGAAGCTCACAGCCATGTTCCTGTTTAGATTAGGTGAAATGCTCCCACTGGTATGTTGCACGCACATATCAGACAATTCAGATCATGAGATCATTCTTGCTATAAGATGATTCATTTTAAAAGCTAGCCCACTTTGAAATATGCTTCATATTATGAGATAATTCCAGTTAAAAGATGATTCTTGCGAAAGGATCATTCACAAAATATGAAAATGCATATTCCAAGTTTATTCATACAATAACATAAGCAATATTATAAGACAGTTAGTGTTATAAGACAGTTTATGCTATCAGATAAGTCGCAGTATAAGACGGTTCACAAGTGGAATGCGGAAGGTCCGTGACACAGAACGCAGGTAACATAGATAATATAGCATGCAAGGATATTGCAAACAGAAAACATACATGCTGTGTCTTCAACATTTGAAGCCCACCAAAATAACGTACATGCACTTTGAGAAATGCAGATTTACATGAATGTCAGTGGGGTAACCGCATCGTCCTACCCATTTGTGGGTATTTTGTGAAGGATTGGCTGGGGCAGACCACATTTTTCACAAAAATAAGCATGATTTGCTTCGACGCATCCACTATATCGAGCCAGACTATCACCATCGCACGTGCACAACTGATTCTGCGCGCTTAGTGCTTATGAAGTGCCCCTTGTTTATGAGTAAATACGCTTACATTCACCACGCAAGCATTCAGCATGCCATTTTAGGTTTCGCGGCAATATGATCGCTTTTGCACTGCCGTTCCACAGCATTCTCAGATTTCCTTGCAAATGCTGTCATGTCACGCATTTTCGGCGGTTGTATCTTCAAAACTTTTGCAACGCATTCTCAGCGGTTGCATCTTCAATACTTTTGCAACGCATTTCATGCAACTCTAACGTCGCAAAAGTTTGCCGTGGCGTGATGAAACGATGACGTAACATGATCTGTATTTTTTTCTAAATGTTTGTAGCTAAGAACAGCTTTTGATGTTTCAAAGTAATGAAAGCGTTGTACGTAAGCTTTGTTTTGACAGCCTGCATGCTTGCTCCAATTCTTCCCAATGTGGAAACGGTTTATCTAAAGTTTCCGATACATGCACGGCAACACCGGGCATCGATGGCCAATTGGATCATTATAGACTCCATGTCTCGCGTGCTGATAATATATGCATGCCATTGGTGCTAATGATTCTAATACCAAAAATCAACCCATTTAAAAGGTTCGGACATCCTCTTTCAAAATCGAATGATGCGGAATGAGAAACCGCGACTTCTGAAGAGTTTGCGCCTCCTGGTCAGTGCAAGCAGGGCGGGCTGTGCTGAGTGCCTGACCGCCTGCTTTTAGGACCCTTATCATTGGCATAGGGTATACCTGCAAAGTCTTACTTCACTTAGATCAAAGTACGATTCCCGGTTCTGCAGCACAGCTGGGGTGCTACTGTCGCCAAGGGCTGCTTGCGCAAGCCTTTCCACAGCGCCCTTCGCAGATTTAATCACGCTCTTCACTCGAGCTGCCACACTTAACTGTCGCAAAACCACGAAAAGTGTCGCAAACACACGGAAACGCTGCGCTTAACATTCGCTGGGTCTGGTGCCAGACATACAACAATGCGCGTGTCATCGTCCCCCGTTTGACATCATTCCGGCTTCCGGCTGTGTTGCCCCCGTCACGTTTTCGTGGCAGCCTCGTTGCAGGTTTGTCAACCGTCACGGAGGGCGCCTCGCCAGCTCGTGGTCACATTGCAATCCCAGCAGACTTGCAAAATGTGCTTGCTCGGTGTTCCGCTGTTGCATGTTTGTGTTGAGGTTTTCAGCGTGTACATCGCGCTGGAGTGGGCGGCTACCCGCAATCGCTTCGATATCATGCAATGAGCTTGGGGTGTGGTGTACGTGGCGACCTGACGAGAACGCAGTCGATAGCAGGCGCAGACGGAGCAGGACAGAGGCTCGCCTCCTAGCCTCGAAGCCTCCTTTGAGCTATGTAAACCTTTGTGGCGTCTGTCGACGGCTCACCGCCAACGGCCGTCGCCGGATAAGCATTCACCAACTCAACTCATCGTGATATCATTGCAATCGTGACAGCAGGTGCCGTTTTCATAACACGAAAAAACGAATCAATGCATTTGCATTTGGGTCGAATAGGTTTACCGACACCAAAAACCAACTTGGTCCCACCGACGGTTTCCTTTATCGATAACTTAAACGGGGTGTCCCACCTTTGGGGAATGTTTCAAGAAATGCTCCGGAGTAACCTTGGGATCATTGGCGTCTGACAATAGCACTGGGTAATTAAAAAACAGCGATTCCAATTATTGTCGAGTCCAAATTACGCTGCCAGTGACTCGAAACACGCTACACGCCTTCCTTTCGTGGTGGCCCAAGAGTGTGTCTAGATACTGCGATAACTGCAGTTGTCACGACCACCCTCATCATAACAAAGGCACGATCTGCTAAGGCCGTTTTCGGCTGTTACGGATTACGGGCATCCCTTTTGAGCTGTTAAAGGGATTTTTTCACATTTGAAGATATCAAGCGGGCGTAGGATATGATGAAACAAGCTCACTTATAGATATTGGCGAACTTTTTTGAGTGGCAAAACTGCTCTAGACAGCACAATTCTCTGTTTAGTAAATATGATTCTCAGTGCAGTATGGTTTGACCACGATCGTCGTACCTTGCACAGCATTGATTGAGAGTCAACTAACAGCCGTTATATCTGGAAATCGCGTTCATTAACACCAGATATAAGCTCCTCGCAATTACACTTTTTTGGGTGTTGATCACCGCATGGCTTATGCAATGGCAGGATTTGAGTGGCGTTATTATGACGTCATGAAAGCCAAGGTGAATTAAAGATACTCTCTCCGATATACCCTTCGCCATTTTCGCGAGTGTGTGGCTCAGAAACTAGAGGGGCTTAGGTCTAAAGAAGAGTCGAATTGTGAACAGCACCGATTTGGCTATTTCTTTATATTATGTGGCTATTTCATTTCAAACACCCTTATGAGTGTGGAGCGTTCCCTTAAAACTATGCAGGCTCACACATTGCGGGCCCGCGGACTTAAACGGGGATTATTTGCTGGTGTGCATGACGTCAGTACAAAGGAACATTTGTGATTGGCCCTGCGGGCGGCGAGTGCCAGTTTCCGAGAAGCGCATTGGTTGAAGTCTGAACCAGTGCGTCATTGTGGGCCATGTGATACTCCGCTTCCCAAAGCTAAAGGACGTCTTCGAAAAGAGCCGCTGAGCTAAACGTCATAGGGGAGAAATCAAAGCCATCGTATGATGCTTCGTTAAATTTGCGGAATTATTATCGTTATTAGTATTGCGAACCTTGGCGAAATTCAGCGAGTGGCTATTCTAACGCCGCATCAGTGCATACTAACATAGATCAGCACAGAACACGCAACACAGGTAAGTGAGACGCAACGCCAGCGATACACACACGATGTTATAAAACATGAGCGACTAATGATACAATCAGCACCTGCACGTCATGGCCAGCTGGCCAATTAGTTAAGTTCTCTGATGAAAGACATTGCTTTGCCCTCGAACTCATTGAAATTTTTGCACTGGCGCGTGGCGGCAGGAAGGCGATCCCACATCGCTACGGCTCGATAGGGAAATGCCGTTTTCATGCACTCTAAGCGAGGGTATTTTACAGCGCCGCCTGTAGTACAGTTTCGTCATCGGTGGCTCCGGTGTGCCGCTGACACTTCAGATCGGCGCCTGACCAGATTACTGGTAGCCCGTGGCCCATCGGGCACGTAAATGGCGCGATGTAAACATATGCAGTCACGGTGGGTGATAGTGTCGTCGAAATTAATCGCATGCTGCGTTTTTATAATAATAACCTCATCCCGTATAGTTCTCTCCAAAAAGAGTATTTCAAGATTTCGTAGCATCCATTACACGTGCGTGCGCGCGGGCGTGCTGCAAAAATTGCAGGGCACACACGCTGGAAAAGCCAAACAAAACAAATATATTTCTATGTAGTCGTGAGCAGGCTATCCAATGAGATTTCTTCCGCTGGAGCGGCGGCTTCAAATCGAAATTCTCAGCTTATCATAATTATTTTGGGAAAAGTGCTATTATCGATCCAATTGGGGGCGATGGCCGCGGCATCACTTCAAGTGGTGCTGCGCGTCTGCGTCTAATATAATAATAAGAGAAAGGTACAAAAAGTGACATGCTCTCTTCAAGATTCCAGAAGTCGAATAAAATCCGCTTGCTTCCGGCTCGTGTGCTTTCAGGACGCATGAACCCAGAAATAAGTCAGCTCGAAATTTGGTTTAATGGCACCACGCTTCGGTACCGTCACCGCTATTGTGGTTTTCGATGCCTCCGTCGTGTATGACGTCGCCTATGTCAGCCACTCTGTGGTGAATGACGTCAGCTATGTCGTGTCTGTCGTCACCTCTGTTGCGTCTGACGTCCGCTGTTTGGTGCCTGACGTCACCGCTGGCGGCCGCAGCGTCAGCGGAGCTGGCCGGTGTGCTGGAGACGATCCTGGACGGCGAGCAGGCGGCGGCGGCCAACAGTTCCGAGCCGGCCCGCCTCAGGAAGTACTACCGTCAGATCCTCGAGCCCGGTGAGGCCACCCCGCCAGCCACAGCGGCACACCCAGCGCGTACTGGTGCACGCACATGCGCATATATCGTGTTCATGCGCGTGGATGTACGCACGCATAGAGATACCTGTCTAGTTGTTTGCGTACGAGTATATATATTTCCATCGCATCTGGATGGCTTCAGCCCCGAAGTATATGTGTTTTATTCCTCCCTGAGGGCCTCCTCTAAAAACCTCAGAAAACGAAGCGGGATAAAGAGCATGCGGCCTGCAAGTTTCTTTACTTGAAAAATCCGTGTGACAGGGCCCATTTTGTTCACTAAGCTACACTCAGCACGTGGCCAGGAGTTCATGGAATGGAAACGTGAGGCGCTGGTTTGACTGGGTTCGAGCTCCGTCTATCACTCGGACCAGAGAGATCCCCGACAGAGAGCCAGGGCCAGTACCAGCATTCACCGGATCTCTGAGCCTACGTCCGGAGAGAGCCAGGGCCAGGACCAGCATTCACCGGATCTCTGAGCCTACGACCGGAGAGAGCCAGGGCCAGGACCAGCATTCACCGGATCTCTGAGCCTACGTCCGGAGAGAGCCAGGGCCAGGACCAGCATTCACCGGATCTCCGAGCCTACGTCCGGAGAGAGCCAGGGCCAGGACCAGCATTCACCGGATCTCCGAGCCTACGTCCGGAGAGAGCCAGGGCCAGGACCAGCATTCACCGGATCTCCGAGCCTACGCCCGACAGAGAGCCAGGGCCAGGACCAGCATTCACCGGATCTCCGAGCCTACGTCCGGAGAGAGCCAGGGCCAGGACCAGCATTCACCGGATCTCCGAGCCTACGTCCGGAGAGAGCCAGGGCCAGGACCAGCATTCACCGGATCTCCGAGCCTACGCCCGACAGAGAGCCAGGGCCAGGACCAGCATTCACCGGATCTCTGAGCCTACGTCCGGAGAGAGCCAGGGCCAGGACCAGCATTCACCGGATCTCTGAGCCTACGCCCGACAGAGAGCCAGGGCCAGGACCAGCATTCACCGGATCTCTGAGCCTACGTCCGGAGAGAGCCAGGGCCAGGACCAGCATTCACCGGATCTCTGAGCCTACGTCCGGAGAGAGCCAGGGCCAGGACCAGCATTCACCAGATCTCCGAGCCTACGTCCGGAGAGAGCCAGGGCCAGTACCAGCATTCACCGGATCTCTGAGCCTACATCCGGAGACTGTTGCGAAGGCGACACTGACACTATAGCACCGCCCCCCCCCCCTCTCCCCCTCCGTGCGCACATTACGGCCAGGATCGCGAGGGCTCGGGAGTACACTGACGCACGAGACACGGACGCTGACGAAGCTGGCCAACGCTCGTTTCGTCAGATTTAACCAAGCCGGCTCCGCTGTCGTTTTGGACTGCAAAAGTTTGAAGTCGTACACCTGCAGAGGCAGGAGTCACGCTGAGATTTCAGTCGTCACCTGCAGAGGCAGGCGTCACGCTGCAACGCAGCTCGTGGGATGTTGCTTTATTTTGATATAGTCCGACTCGCTATATCGTCCGGCCCGCTCATGAAAAAGGGTCGAGTCGGCTTCACAGAAGCAGCGCTTCGCCACGTCGTAGCTTTCTCACTAACGTTTGCAGATGGGTCTAACGCGCTGCGCAGAAAACCCAGCGGACCAAATCAGGCAATCAGAGGTCTGCTTTTATTCTAGTGTGAAAGGGTGGCATTATGGCCTGCTAACCGGACAACCTTCATGTCAATGCAACCTTTAAGTTTGATATCAATAAGTCTGCACCTGTTGTATCGTGGACGTGCTAGCAGTGTTTTGTTCTGAATAACGCATGGATGACATACACCGCAACCGAGATCATTGGTTTAGACATGATTTAACTCCACCTCCCCTCCCAACATTTCGAGAACTGTTAACATCAACTGTATGGTTTGATAACTGAAACGGAATGAAAAATGAGGTCAAATTAAAAATTGCGTTGACAAAATCGTACACAGATGAATATGCTCAGCATAAGGTCTCCTCGGCCCCTCCCTCTCTCGCTTACACTCAAAGGGTGTTTAGGGATGGGTTTGCTCTGACGTCTTTTCGCATTGAAAAGCCATGGAAAACAAAACAAAACAGACTGCCCCCTATCTCTCCAAATTGGAGAATTTCTGCTGTCCCTGTCCCCTAGCCTCTGAGTTTGCATCATAGCGTTCTATTCACGCAACTAGGGTACCCTGTTGGTCCGCGCTTTCGTAGGTGGCTCCTGCCACAGAACAAAATCATCATGATTCGTTCTCATCCAGCTCCACTCCCTCCCCATAAGAAAGCCCTGGTTGCGCCCCTGCTCTTCTCAACCCCCAACGCGACACGCAGCCTTCAATGCCTGACCGACGCTGCTGCCTTTTCAGCCGTCGGGCAAGCCCCTCAGTTGGCAGCGCTGAGCAGAGCGCTCGACGCGACATCTGTGGAGTGCAGTCGCTACTACATGTGTCAGATGGCGATGACGGCGACATCTTTCGGCGAACCTTTCGACATCGGGATGCCTCTGCTGAGGTGAGACTTCTCACTGCTGCGGGGCCTGGTCACGACGCAGCCTATTTTCTATGCGACAGCCCCGCCAGCGGCGGAAACGGTGGCTCTAGGCTACAATTCTCAACATTGGGCCAATTGAACATTAGATCTTCTCCCGATGGCAGTGCATACCGTTTCAAGCAAGGTCCTTGAGATGTTCCGGCAGCGGCAACTGAAGCTGAAGTGATGTTCTCCGGCAGCGGTTACAGGAGCTTAAACGAAGAAGCCGCGGTCACTACAGCTTAAATGAAAGGGCCCCTTCAGAATCTGAGAGGGGCTCTCTCATTTTTGGATGGAGAAGTCGAAGGCGCGCTTTTCGCACGTCCCGGCTCACCTCCGCACTCGGCGGCCTCGGTGACGGCTCGGCGCTTACTCGCTGGCTGTGTGTGGCTGGGGCGGACTGAGGTGGGCGACAGACTGAGACGCACTAAGGCGAGTGGACGCACCATAGGCGTTGGAACACTTCAAAAACTGGGATAGGGAGGGGGGGGGGGAGGTGGCTAGGCTCAGGGTATAATTCAGGAACGTTTCTGGGAAGCCAACCCAGCACCGGAAAGGAGAAAGTAGATGGAGAGGTTATTATCCACGCTCAATTCACATAACATATTTTGAACGTGATTAAATGTCGTGGCTGCTGTGCTGGACATGTATATATATATATATATATATATATATATATATATATATATATATATATATATATACGGCTGTTTCTCTCTGGCGCACAATCTTACCCATTCGACTTACATATGTCATTCGGCAAATAAGACTCCAGTTCCCCAGTTTTATTCGTCCCTTTCCACATTGTGTTCCCTGGGGAGGCGAAATTACACCAGCGGCAAGGCATTTTGAATTGATGAGGCACCTACCTGCACAGGGTAGATGCCAAAATACAACCTGGACATAGGCTAGTCAGAATTTTGCATGCAAATCGATGCCCCAGGCGCCAGAGTTTCATGCGCCTAGATTTCTCCGGCTGCTTTTCAAGAGGTAAGATTTGTTGCAGTATTTTAGGCGAAAACGAATTCAGAGGCTTCAAGTACTAACTGCTAACAAAATGTGACAAAACCATAAACTGGAGTTTCGCCAGTAAAAACCAAGCCAGGGAATGAAGGCCCTTCTATCACATATTCCTTATCCGAGCCCTGCTTCGGTCCGTCGTCGGCGGCCACTGCTATGACCCGGCTGTCCGTCGTCGGCGGCCACTGCTATGACCCGGCTGTCCGTCGTCGGCGGCCACTGCTATGACCCGGCTGTCCTCCGCGTAACTGACTGTGGGCTGATAACATGGTCGCTTTGCTGCGCATTCATGGATCAGCATTACTACTAATTGGTGCGCAAAACGTACATTGGACACCTGCAACATAATTTTTTTCCGAATTATTTTCCCTTACACCACACCACCGCAGACAAGATACTTTCGGAAAGCTACCTTCCTTAGGCGTGAGTTAGTCCAACGGACATTCATCTAACCTAGCCCCTCATTTAACCTAGCCGACTTGATCTGCTTTTGAATGTAAGCAGGAGTGTAGCCAGAGCATTGCCAAGGGGGCACAGCGTTGACGAAAGCCACCTGATGGTGGCCTCACCCTCCCCAACTTTAAAAGAATTGGTGGACATAGTTAAGTTTTGATAAGGGCACGATTTTCTTCGTTTTATGGTTAGTTTTGCCTTCACAGAAACAAGGCGTTGCAGCGAGATCAATGCTGTTTGTATTCTGAAGTCAGTTAACTACAGAACTCAGTCGTTGAACGACTGCATGGAATGAATCACCGGTGTGTTTAATTTGCAATGGTGTATTGGACTTTTTCTAAACCGATGCAATTCAGAAGCTTTTTAACCATTTTTATCCTGGTCTAACAAACTTATAAGGACCTGGCAAAGGTAGATTGTAGGTCAAAATCGGTCAGCAATGTGTGTTAACATGGTTAAGTCAGGCTTGTCTGGAAATGTTCATTATTCAGTCAGCATCCATCAGTGACACAAAACTGTGTAATGTAGTTTTGAACATGCGCGCTCGTAAATTTTCGCAAGGAAAACTTTGACGCCATGCGTTGCAGTCTCCGCAGACTGCGCGGCGTCGGCCCCGTAGTTAACTCTAAGCCGTAGCCAATGGATGGACGAAAATGATGTCGCTTCTGAAGGATGTACCTTAGAACACTAACATAGATCAGATATCTAAATTATGTGACATACTTTTGAACATAGGCGCTCGCAAATCCTGCAGCAAAAGCCTCTACGCCAGGCGTTGCAGTCTCCATAGGCCGCGCGACGCTTGCTCGGCGGGCCGTGGCCAACGGGTGGACGAAAAAGATGACGTTTCGTAAAGAAGTGCCTTTGAAAGCTTTAGGTCATCAAATCTTATATTTGGATGGTAGTATGGGCGTATAATTCATCTGTGCGTTGTTTACATCGATGATAAGAACGGATTGATCCCATACAGCACCGCGGATTGGTGCTGGAATCTGGTGGTGGAACTGGATGAGTAAGCGTTCGAATCCCTATTTTTCGTGCTGCTGTAACTGGTAATCTTCAGAGGACAAGTGCACGGCGCCTGTCACCTGGTGCCACTTGCATTGGCCAACGCCGTTCGGTTCTATGGAAGCTGCAACACAGGTCATCGCTGTTCTTGCTCCCGGGATTGCGGACGCGCATGTTCAGGCATTTTGATGTATTTTGTTTCATTAATCGTGCGCGTTCTCAGACAAATGTGTGATGGTCTTATCCGTTTTTGAACGAGCTTGAGTAGGACACTAGGGGCACTTTACTGTTCCCGCTCAAGAGCTAAAGAGCCATTCTGTCCCACCGCGAGATGTCTTCCAGCTGCCATTCTGGCAACACGGGGCGGGATCCCCTGGTCGATCCGGAGGCCGTTAGAGGGATGTATCATATCACATTGTTCCCCTCCCTGACGCGGGAGGCCTTCTGGCCCGCGCAGTTGGCTCCGGATCAACATAGGAACACTCATTGACATAACATCCGTGGTCGCCGCAGGTGGTTCAATAATTGTCACATAGACTCCAGTTTCAGGTTTGTTTTGTGTTCTTCAGAGATATTGAGGACCTCCTGACCGTGTAGATCAGCATGGGGTCAAAAATTTGCATCGGCATGGCTTAACCATGTTCGTCTTAAAATGTTCAGTATCAATCAGAATTGATAACTGAGAACAGTTATGTAACATGGTGTTAACATGCGCTCTCGCAAATCTTCGCAACAACAGTCCCGCTGCCCGGCGTTGCAGTCTCCGTCGGCCAAGCGGCTGTGACATATGATGGCCAATGGCCAAACGAAAAAGATGACGCGTATTGAGAAAGATGGTTCGTGAATTAGGTAAATCGGCATATATGTTTAAGACAGTACAAAAGTAAACAAAACGCATCTTAATACCGAAAGGGGGGGGGGGGCAATTTAACATTGCTGCCCTCTGCCTTTAAAAGTGGGGGGTCATGGCCCCCTACCCCCCCCCCCTTGTTCCTACACCCATTGGACGGACTGAGACGGACTGAGGCGGGCGGACAGACTGAGACGGACTGAGGCGGGCGGACAGACTGAGACAGACTGAGGCGGGCGGACAGACTGGGGAGGACTGAGGGGGGCGGACACACTGAGACAGGCTGAGGCGGGCGGACAGACTGAGACAGGCTGAGGCGGGGCGGACAGACTGAGACGGGCTGAAGCGGGCGGGCAGACTGAGACGGACTGGGGCGGACGGACAGACTGAGACGGACTGAGGCGGACGGACAGACTGAGGAGGACTGAGGCGGACGGACAGACTGAGACGGGCTGAGGCGGGCGGGCAGACTGAGACGGGCTGACGCGGGCGGATAGACTGAGGCGGATTGAGGCGGACGGACAGACTGAGATGGGCTGAGGCGGACGGACAGACTGAGGAGGACTGAGGCGGACGGACAGACTGAGGAGGACTGAGGCGGACGGGCAGACTGAGACGGGCTGAGGCGGGTGGACAGACTGAGACGGGCTGAGGCGGACGGACAGACTGAGACGGGCTGAGACGGACGGACAGACTAAGACGGGCTGAGACGGACGGACAGACTGAGACGGGCTGAGACGGACGGACAGACTGAGACGGGCTGAGACGGACGGACAGACTGAGACGCACTGAGACGAGTGCACCCTGCAATGCTCGACCAGCACAGGCATAACAAGAGGTCAAGAAGCGGTTCTGAGCTGGTTTTGCGGCTGAGGCGATCCAACATGAAAACTTCGTCGGCAATTACCACTCGCATCTCTGTCTGGTGAAATGGGGCTAGGCTAGATTCCTTTGCAATATTCCGTTTCCTTTCCTGGCTTGGTGAACAAACAGGATTACCTCGCGCTGCGATACCACACGGCAAGCGTCGTGTGGCAGTACCGTTCGGTACCTGAGCTCCCTGCAGAATCTCTGTGTCGACACTCGCTAGCTGGTGACGTAGCCCGGTGCCTGCTGACCCTGTGTGCCGCCGTAGCCCGGCGCCTGCTGACCCTGTGTGCCGCCGTAGCCCGGTGCCTGCTGACCCTGTGTGCCGCCGTAGCCCGGTGCCTGCTGACCCTGTGTGCCGCCGTAGCCCGGTGCCTGCTGACCCTGTGTGCTGCCGTAGCCCGGTGCCTGCTGGCCCTGTGTGCCGCCGTAGCCCGGCGCCTGCTGACCCTGTGTGCTGCCGTAGCCCGGTGCCTGCTGACCCTGTGTGCCGCCGTAGCCCGGCGCCTGCTGACCCTGTGTGCTGCCGTAGCCCGGCGCCTGCTGACCCTGTGTGCTGCCGTAGCCCGGTGCCTGCTGACCCTGTGTGCCGCCGTAGCCCGGTGCCTGCTGACCCTGTGTGCTGCCGTAGCCCGGCGCCTGCTGACCCTGTGTGCTGCCGTAGCCCGGTGCCTGCTGACCCTGTGTGCCGCCGTAGCCCGGCGCCTGCTGACCCTGTGTGCCGCCGTAGCCCGGTGCCTGCTGACCCTGTGTGCTGCCGTAGCCCGGTGCCTGCTGACCCTGTGTGCTGCCGTAGCCCGGTGCCTGCTGACCCTGTGTGCCGCCGTAGCCCGGTGCCTGCTGACCCTGTGTGCCGCCGTTTCAGTTTGCCGGTGTCCTGGATCTTGACGGAGACGCAGGGGGGCCAGTTCGGCCAATACTGCGGCAGTGCCGTGCTGGGTGGCTCGGGCAAAGGCGACTGCGCCCTCCTCTACCCCGGCTGCACACACGCCTGAGGACTACGGGCGGCTGCAGACACGTCTGGGGACCACGAGCAGCTGGAGGAGCTTATGGGGACTCGGGTAGTGAAGTGAGTGAATGGTGAAGACAGCAGATTCTCTCGATGATCTGCTGGTCCTCGCGAGAGCCCTCAGACAGCAGATCTTACTGAGGATCTACCGGTCATCGCGAGAGCCCTCAGACAGCAGATCTTACTGAGGATCTACCGGTCATCGCGAGAGCCCTCAGACAGCAGATCTTACTGAGGATCTACCGGTCATCGCGAGAGCCCTCAGACAGCAGATCTTACTGAGGATCTACCGGTCATCGCGAGAGCCCTCAGACAGCAGATCTTACTGAGGATCTACCGGTCATCGCGAGAGCCCTCAGACAGCAGGTTCGACTGAGAATCTCCTGGTCCTTGCGACAGCACTCAGATCCTCAAGCGGGACTGAGAGCCCTTGGGAGATAAGCGGACTTTCACGTGGAGCATCGAGTCCTTTTGAGAACCGACAGCCTTCAAAGAAAGAGGAGGTCTTCCTAGGGAACTTTGAGTCCCGCGTCGGCCTACGGGTTCACTGGAGGAAGGATCTCTTCTGCGGAAAAACACAACCTGATGGCACATGTGTTTTCTGGTTGACCGAAGTCGTTTCTGAGAAGCAGCTGACTCTCATCAGGACGCGTGGGCCCTCATGGGGACTGATGACCTGCATGATGAAACAACGAACTCCAGTGCGAGCAAACCGCCTTCGTGGGGAACATGCGGGTCCTCTCGAAAGCCGAGAGTCCTCGTGAGGAGCAGGAGATTCCCGTGACGACCTGCCGGTCCTCGTAAAAACTCCATACAGTACCAGCGCTGGTGATGAGTCCCTTGAGAGCCGAAGGCACTCGTAACGACCAGCAAACTTCAGTGATTGCAAGCGAGCTATCGCGAGGAAACTGAGCTGGAAACCATGCGGGAGGTTTCAGGCCTTGATGTACCTGTCTTGGGACATTTTAGGCGAGAACATACGCACGCACGTTGGGATGGCGACCGTTGCAGATGTTCTTCGAAGTGGGGATCACTTGACGACCGTGGCAGATCTTCGCCGAAGTGGGGATCACTTGACGACCGTGGCAGATCTTCGCCGAAGTGGGGATCACGTGACGACCGTGGTAGATCTTCGCCGAAGTGGGGATCACGTGACGACCGTGGCAGATCTTCGCCGAAGTGACAGTCACTCGGGAGCACCGATCAGGCTGTCGGAGAAACATCAGCGCGTGTGCCACTCACGGCACGCCGCAATAGCCTCCGCGTGGGGCCATCTTCAGACCAGCGGAGACTAGGACAAGTAGCAGCGGCACCGCCGTGCGCTGGTTGACTCGTTGGACCGATGTTTTCGTTAAGTTTCTTGTTTGAGATCATCCAGTGTGTTACGTTGTTGGGCTTTTGTACCTTTATATATGAATAGCGCGACGATTGCCTTTGGATGTGTTTGGTGTGGCAGCCGATGAGAACGCCGAAATTTGTTCGCTACGCTGTTTATTAGCTCCTCTTAATTTATCGTTTTCAGCGCGCAGATATACAATATGCCTGTGAAGAAGGCGTCTCACGTGGCGACCGGTATGCCTGTGAAGAAGGCGTCTCACATGGCGACCGGTATGCGTTTTAAGCCGGAACATCTTACATGTTTCGTGCCGTTGCCCGTTCTGTTCCACCCCCCGGTGTTCAGACATTGCTGGTGTCCGCGGGGCCGTGCGTGACGCTGGCCGGTGGCCTCATGTAACTGAAAACAAGACGACAAGGTGTGCGGGGCAGTTTTCAACAATGTTTTTGAGCCTCCGCGTTTTGTCGAAGTGCTCTCGCGCCGGCACACAGTCACACGATTGTACGAAAGTCATCAACAAGCCGCACTTGGTCGGATACTGGCCACTGAGGCCTGCGTGGGCTGTGCCTGCAGAGGCCACTGGCAAGTCTGGGGCCCGCCGAGCCCTGTCGGAAGTCGCTCCGGGACCGCCAGCTCACCTCGGTGACCTCCTTCCCCTCCCCCCCCCCCGCCCGCCGAGAGCATCCTCGCCGCTCGGAGGCCCTCCGGCTTCCGGCCGCCCACTTCCCTCCCCACGTCACATGAGCTTCGGCTCTCCTCGCCGGCCGCTCTCGCCACCTCCGAGAGCCCCCCCCCCCCCCGCCAACAGCAGATGACCTCGTGGCATCGCCTCTGTTGCGTGCACAACGGTAGCGTTTGCGTGCTCCGTAGATGGCATCCGAACAGGGACGATAGATGGTGCAGCGACAAGGACTACCGGCAAGTGGCGCCGCCTCGCTGCGCGGCCATTAGTGTAGTTAAGAACCCTTTTGCTTCGGGGTCAGATGACGTGGCGAGTGACGCGAGGTTTGGCGTGCGCCGCTGGAAGCCGCCTGTTTCGTCAACGGCGATAGAAGGAACAACTAAAAAAAAGAAAAAAGCAAGTATGTAAGAAAAATACAAATTTCCCAGTCCTTTTTCCGCCGTCGATGACAGCTTCAAAGTTGTTCCTGTGTCCACCTGTATTTCTACCTCTCATCATTCATTAATTATCTCCTATAAACCACGGCAATTTGCTATTTCCTTGCACATTCAATGCAGCACATGTAGCCATGGTATGACGAAAGCTCGTAAAGTGCATATGCATGTTCAAAATTAACGAAAAAGGTTGAGACTCGCGCTCAAGTGTGAAGGATTTTGGAACATGGTCTGCTGGTTTATCGTGTTCTATGTTTCTGTGGCACGGGTCGCGTGATATTGTCACTTGCGTCAATACTGTCGTACAAATCAGTTTCCTAGGGTTTTCGATTTGCTGGATTGTTTTAGTTTTGTAAGCCTGCTGGCAACAGCCTGTCGCAGGACCTTGGTAGGGGCTCACCGCGTAGCAGTGCGGTTCAGTTGGTCTCCATGCTTCTATGTTGAACAAGACATTCCTGAAGCACACGATTCTGACGTTGAAGTTTGATGGTGAAGCGTTGCTACGTTCTTTCCATTGTTTCTGCACTCTACTAATTGTTTGTTTCTGTCTACAATGTCGGCTACGGAGCTGAAACAGAAACGTGGGAGGTTACTCAGTGTCGTAACAAGAGTTCGTAGAGAAGAGCTTCCGTGCTGATCAACAGTGGAGGCAGTAGAACGCAGCTGATTTCCATCAGTTCTGAGCTTGATCACGCTTTAGAAGAGTTGGAAGAGCTTAATGATGAGCCTATTGCCGCGCTCACTTCCGAGGAAGACAAGGCTCAGGCTAATCAGTAATTCGAAGATGCAGAGAAGCAGCACGAAGCGGCTGTAGGTCGCATTGAAGCCTACCTGACAGAGACAAAAAAAGATCCTTCGTCAGTTGCACTGCATCAGCTATCTCAAGCGTCTGCAATGTCATCAGCCTCCCGAGAAGCTGACATACAATTCAGAGTGAGGCAGCTCGAGACAGTTCGGCTGGAGCGTCGACTAGCCCAAGAAAGGGAGGAGCGAGACATGCAGAGGCAGTGCAAGTTGCAAAAAACGAGAGACGCCCAGGCCGCAGCTGAACTACGCGCACAGCTTACTAAAGCTGCTGAAGATCAATTGAGCTGGGACAGGAAGGACGACTTCACTGGGGAACTTGTTGATCGGGAAGCCCAACGGGCTCATCCTGATCTATGTGAGCGGGAGAGAGGTTCGGACAAACCTCAGCTTCTGACGTCCGTTGGTGCTTCGGTGCCTGTTGATCGGGGGAGTCAAGGGGCCACCTTGACCTGCATCCAGACGGCCCAACTCTGGTCAGTGTCCTACCACCCGGCCTAGCCGGTAGCTCATTGCATGTGAGGAGGGAGCTCCAAGGGGGACTCCCTTGCGCGTCCACGATCCATCACAGCATCCCTCGTCTGTCCTTGCCCAAGTTTAGCGGAGAACCAGCAGAGTGGCCAAAGTGGTTTGCTCTGTTCAAAACACGTGTTCACGATCAAGCCCCCTTACCTTGACTGAAAAGATGGCACACCTGCAACCTGCACTGTCGGGTCTTGCACAGCATACCATAAGTGACATGTTGTATGAGGGTGATTTGTATGATGATGCCCTGATGGCACTGGGGGGGGCCGTTTCGGACGCCCGAGGACATTATGCGTGCCAACCTGCGAGGCATATTCGCCTGTCCCGAACCAGCCTATCTTGATCCAAGTAGGGCTTGAACGTTTGCATGCCACTGTCCACTGCGCAGTTACCGTTTTTTTTTCTTCAAAACTCGGGTCACGATGGTGATCTCGATAGCTACGGAAACCTTAGGCGTGTGGTGGAAAAGCTCCCATCAGAGTTGAAACGAATCTGTGGGGGGGGGGGGGGCACATCTTGGACCTGGATGAACCTAGTCCAATCCATTTTGATGCCTGGTTGCGTAAACAGGTGAGGGAAGCCCTCAACTACGTGACCGTGTCTCCGGAGTCAAATAAGACGGCAGCTGAGAATAACCCAATGAGACACATGCGGCGGTGGCAGAGCGAGAAGAGGGCAGTCGAGCGAACTGCTCTGGTCACGGAGGTCATAACCACTGGAAAGATCTGTGTGAACTGCAACGGCCAGCATGAAGTATGCGTGTGTCCTTCCTGCATGCTGATGACGGTCGATGACAGAGCTCATTTCATTGCCAACTCTGGCTGCTGCTTTTTTGCCCAAAGAAGGGACATGGTGTTGAAAATTGTCACTTCGCAAAGCCACGTGGTATCGATGACTGCAAGATAAGGGACCACCATGTGCTACATGGAAGCACTAGCGTGACCCTCCGGACCAACCGCGGGGTTTTGTGCCCAAAACCTGAAGACAGTCGTGTGGTGGCCGCAGTCTCACTGGAAAGCGATGCTGTAACAACTCTGCCGCAGGTTGTACAGGTCACCATCATCGGCAGTCACGGCAAGTCTATGAAAGTTTGTGCTTTACTTGACCCTGGTTCTCAGACATCCCTGGTGTCAGAGGATGTGATGATACAACTTGATCTTCATGGAGAGCAACAAACACTTCGACTGCAAACTGTTGAAGGACATGGTTCTGAACAGAGCTCAATGAAACTGAAGCTGGAGTTTGAAATATCAGGAGGTGGTGGTACCCGGGATTATAGTTCCCGGGGTCCTTCTCGGTGAAAGATATCAATGTCACAGTCTCTCGACTCCATAACAAGAAACCGGAAATGAAGCACCTTCAGGACCTTGATCTCCTAGAGCTGTGCAGGGAAGACAGTGGCAGCTTCCGCTCGGTGGCAATGTGATCGAGGCTGTCCAGTTGGAAGTAAAGAAAGAAAAAAACCGTGTCAACCAGTGGGCATCAAACCGCTTGTGGATGACCTAACTGGCTGTGTAGAGGGCTTCGCGCCAGGGAGAACGCACCAGATGGTGTTCATCAACAAGATACAGCTGGTGAGTGGGACGTCAGCAATGCTCCGAGAGTGGTGGAGCACAGAATCACTTGGGAGCAAGTTCGATGATAAAGACGCCAGATCA